ACTGAGCTAGAACAAACTATCCTAAAATTTGTATGGAGCCACAAAAGACCCTGAATAGCCAAAGCAATTTTGAAAAAGAAAAACACAACTGGAGGTATCACAATCCCAGACTTCAAGTTATATTACAAAGTGGTAGTAATCAAAACAGTATGGTACTGGTACAAAAATAGACACCTAGATCAATAGAACAGGATAGAAAACCCAGGAAAAAAAGCCTCACAATTATATAGTCATTTAATCTTTGACAAAAAGGAATGAATATACAATGGGAAAAAGTCTCTTCAACATATGGTGCTGGGAAAACTGGACAGCTACATACAGAAGAATGAAAATGGACCACTTTCTTTTTTTTTTTTTATTCTTATGTTAATCCCCATACATTACATCATTAGTTTTAGATGTAGTGTTCCATGATTCATTGTTTGTGCATAACACCCAGTGCTCCATGCAGAATGTGCCCTCCTCAATACCCATTACCAGGCTAACCCATCCTCCCACCCCCCTCCCCTCTAGAACCCTCAGTTTGTTTTTCAGAGTCCATCGTCTCTCATGGTTCATCTACCCCTCCGATTTCCCCTGCTTCATTCTTCCCCTCCTGCTACCTTCTTCTTCTTATTTTTTTTTTCTTAACATATATTGCATTATTTGTTTCAGAGGTAGAGATCTGAGATTCAACAGTCTTGCACAATTCACAGCGCTTACCAGAGCACATACCCTCCCCAGTGTCTATCACCCAGTCACCCCATCCCTGCCACCCCACCCCCCACTCGAGCAACCCTCAGTTTGTTTCCTGCGATTAAGAATTCCTCATATCAGTGAGGAAGATGGACCACTTTCTTACACCACACACAAAAATAAACTCCAAATGGATTAAAGACCTAAATGTGAGACCTGAAACCATAAAAATCCTAGAAGAGGGCATAGGCAGTAATTTTTCTGACATTGGCTATAGCAACATTTTTCTAGATATGTCCCCTAACACAAAGGGAAATAAAATCAAAAATAAACTATTGGGATTACATCAAAATAAAAAACTCCTGCACAGTGAAGGAAACAATCAACAAAACTAAAAGGCAACTTATGGAATGGGAGAAGATATTTGCAAAGGGCATATTTGATAAAGGGTTAGCATCCAAAATATATAAAGAACTTACATATTTCAACACCTCAAAAATAAAGAATCCAATTAAAATGGGCAGAGGACATGAGCAGACATTTCTCCAAAGAAGACATACAGATGGTCAACAGACATGAAAAGATGCTCAATATCCCTCATCATCAGGGAAATACAAATCAAAACTATAATGAGATATCACTTCACACCAGTCAGAATGGGTGAATCAAAAACAAGAAATAACAAGTGTTGGCGAGGATGTGGAGAAGAAAGGAATCCTCGTGTACTGATGGTGGGAATGCAAACTGGTGCAACCACTATGGAAAACAGAATGGAGGTTCCCCAAAAAAGTTAAAAATAGAACTACTCTATGATCCAGTAATCATTCTGTGGGGTATTTACCCCAAAAATACAAAAACATTAATTCAAAGAGATACATGCATCCCTATGTTTATTGTAGCTTTATTTACAATAGCCAAATTATGGAAGCAGTCCAAGTGTCTATCGATAGATGTATGGATAAAAAAGATGTGCCATATATATAAAATGGAATATTATTCAACCATAGGGAAGAATGAAATCTTGCCATTTGCAACAACATGGGTGGAGCCAGAGAGTATAATGCCAAGCAAAAAAGTCAGAGAAAGACAAATACCATATGATCTCACTCATATGTGGAATTTAAGAAACAAAACAAACAAAGGATATATATAGAGAGAGATAAACCAAGAAACAGACTCTTAACTATAGAGAACAAACTGATGGTTCCCAGAGAGGAGAAGGGTAGAGGGATGGGTGAAGGAGGTAAAGGAGATTAAGAGTTCACTTATCACAATGAGCACTAAGTAATGTATAGAATTGTTGAATCACTATATTGTACACCTGAAACTAATATAACACTGTATGTTAACTATACTGGAATTAAAATTTGAAACTTAATAAAAAATATGATATTAATATAGGTATACCAGGTTTGTTTGGGTTATTTTACCTGGCAAATATATATTTTCCAAATTTTGATTTTCAGCTTTTTCATGCCCTTTTGCTTTACTGTGGCTCTTGCAAACAGAATATGTATAGATTTTTTAACTGAATCTGATAATTCTATATTTTAGCTATAGAGTTTGGTACATTTCTATTGTGATTATAGATATATTTATATAGAATAATTTTTCTGTGTTATTTTATTTCTTATATTTACCTCGACTTAACTATTTATTAATTTACAGATTTTTTTAAGCAAATGATTTCTCTTGCTATGAAAAAAACCCTGGAGTTTAGCAATTCTATTAGTTACACTTTAATATTTTCTCTGTCAAATCCAAGTACAATTAAATGTATTGTTACATACTTGTGTATATATATAGGCACACACATTATCTACTTATATCTATTTTTCCTACAATGAACACATATGACCTCAATAATATAAAAATTATTTAGAGACAGTTTAATCTATAAATGGATAAATAAATGAATAAATATAAGTTATATGAAAATGATGTTGTTACAACCAGATAGACTTACCAAAAGCCATAAGATGGGGCGCCTGGGTGGCTCGGTCATTACGCATCTGCCTTTGGCTCAGGTCATGACCCCAGGATCCTCGGATCAAGCCCCGCATCGGGCTCCCTGCTCAGCGGGAAGCCTGCTTCTCCCTCTGCCAGTCCCCCTGCTTGTGTTCCCTCTCTCGCTGTGTCTCTCTCTTCAAATAAATAATAAGAAAAAAAAAAAAGAGGGAAGTGGTCTGAAAGCAGAAACTCCTCAATTCCTCCTCCCCTAAATGTTTTCACTGTGCATAGTAAACAGGGGCCTGAAAAGAATGGGTGCTAGCAGGAGTGCCTGAGCTGAGCCCCTATGGTAGAGTTTCAGACTTCACAAATAAAAACATGACATGGGATATCCTAACGCTAAGATTTACATGCTGTTTATCTGAGATTCAGACACAGCCATGTGTCCTATATTTCATGTGGCTTCACCCACACATTACGCTGGGGAGTAGAAGGGGAGCAAGAGGGCTCTTCCTTGTAAACGTCTGGCCTCTCCCTGCTGAATGGAGCTGAAATGTGTGCCCTCTATTTAGACACCCAGAACTCATCATCTCTTACTTGCTAACACTCTCTCGGGGGCCCTTTAGCACTTAATCGGGGGAATGAGAACACTACTGCCATTGCTCTTCAGCCTAAGAGAGTCAGGTCCTACAGCTCCAATCTGGCCCCTTGCGAACGACTCTTCCGCCACCACCCCCACCAGCCACACACCTAGACCTTCTGCGCAGTCAGATCTCAGAAGCTGGAACTGACCAGGAAAACCCCACACTGAGGGATCATGGCCAGGCACTGCCTTCTCCCCGAGCTCAACTGCCCCAGCAAGACATCGCTTACTCAAAAACGACAAATGGATTAATTCCAACGAGTATGAGTCCCTCCGAATCACTGCAAAGTCCTCCGGGATCTTTTGGTCACCCCACCCCCTCCAAATCCTTACTCATGAGTTGTCCTGCTCACAATTATTCAGAGGTCTCCATTGTTTCCTCTCCTTCCTAAAATAATTATAATAAGCTAATAATTGACCATTTTGTACGAAACTCTAAGTTTCTGGTATATTCTTCCATTATATCTGTGATGATTATCTGTCAGTCCAGCTCTGAGAAAACATGGGCTCTGACTCTAACAGGCTTAAGTGAGAGGCCTCGATCAATCATTTACTAGCTTGTGATTTGGGCCAACTCACCGACCTTCTCTGAGATGGTCTATTCCCCATCTATAAAATGGGACAAGTACAAATGACTCCTTTGGGCCACACCCTACCCTATTGGAAACCATTCAGACTAATGGGGGAAAATTTTGCAAACTTCACATTTGAATGAGATCTTGACCTTTTAGAAGCCATATGATTACTAGAAAAAAAAAACTGCAAGCTTCATTTGCAGCAGAACTAGGAACCGATTAGCTGATTATAAGATATCCACACAGTGGAACATTTTGTAGGCTTTACAAATCAGGAAGTTCTTTAATCTTCACAAAAATAAGAGGTAGACCTTATTTTAATGAGAAAAGCAAGATAAGAACCAGCATGTATAGCATGCAACATTTTGTATAAGAAAGGAAAAATATAAAAATATATTTCATTTTCTTAGTTTATATAAGCAATACACAGAACTTAATAAATGGTGGTTAAATCTGGTGTGAAGATGGGGGATGGTGATGGAAAACTCAGTGGTTCAGGGAAGGGGTGGGAATGAGATTTTTACACTATATATCATTTTACACTGTTTTGATTTTGGAACCACTTATGTAACTTCTTCAAAATATATATATAACTTATTCAAAAATAAAAATTGAAAGTTGAACAGAGGGGAGGTGGGTGGGAATGGGTTCAATGGGCGATGGGTATTAAGGAGGGCACTTGTGATGAGCACCGGGTATTGTAAGTCAATGTTGAATCACTAAATTCTACACCTGAAACTAATATTACACTATATGTTAAGTAACTGGAATTTAAATAAAAACTTGAATAAATAAGTAAATAAATAAATATTTAACATAAAGTCTACCTCTAAAAGTTGTGAGTTAAGTAAGAGTATGTACATGGTATGTGTGTTTATGTATTGTGTGTGTGTGCGTGTGTGTGAATGGTGTTTAGAAACCTACATGGCATATAATGGTCATACGCTAAATGTAGCACCCTTCCCTTTTTCATGGTTATTTTTCTAATTATAAAATTATACAGTTCGGAGAAAAATTTGCAAATTAGAGGAAAGTCTAAGGAAAAATAATCACCCATTATCTCAGCACTCAGAAGTAAATCTGTTAACATTTTGCATATTGTTTATCGATCTTTAAATTTTATTTAAATATTTTTACATAGGGCAGTATACCTTAAAGCAAAGATATCCTTTCCAACTTCTGTTTTAGTATCTGTGGTATGCTCCATTCTAGAAATGGCCTTTATCTTCTGTCCACCTGCCTATGTTCCCGTGGCCCTATCAAATCCCTGAAGATAGCGGCTTTGTCTTCTCCATCGTTGTATCTCCGGTGTGTGGCTTGTAGGGGGATCTTGATAAATATCTGTTGGAGAAATGCACAAATTAATTACCCCAAAATCATCTAAGTAGTTGCTTATTGTTGGGTGTTGGGTCATTTTCAGTTGTTTACTCTCCTAAATAATGCTAGCACAGCCATCCATATACACAGATCACAAATCATGACACGTGTCTTCACTTGTTTCCTTAGGCAAAATTCCTAGAAGTGGAATTATTGTCCGAATGGATAGGAAAAAATTGAAGGTTGTTGAAATCACATTGCTAATTTGCCTTCCAAAAAGTTGCCCCGGTATGCACTCTTAGCAGCTGCTTAGGGGAGGCCTGGTACCAATGCTCACTGAAATTAGGAGCTCCCACCCCTTAAATCTTTGCTCAGTGCATAGGAAGACATCCTACCAGTTTCATTTAAATGTCCTTAATTGTTTCAGTGAGGTTAAACAGGCTCTCCAATCTTATGAAACATGATATGTTTAACCAGTTGTCTGCTCACACACTGTGCTCGTCTATCTACTTGGACCTTCATGTTTTTCTTCTATATCTTCTCTTTTTAAAATTTTGAATCTCCCTGCTTATCTCTCCCCTCACTGTTTACCTAATTATCTCCAGGGAATTTTTTGGAGGTTATGGAAGATTTATACTATGGAAGATTTCCAGGAGGCACAAGAAGAGAAAATAGTATAATGGGCCCCCACGTTCCCATCACCCAACTTCAATGATTCCAAACACTTTGGCAGTTTCATCTGTTTATCTCTTTCTTCCCCAACACACACATATAGATGTTTAAAAAAAATTTTTTTTTCTGGAGTATTTTAGGCAAATCCTAGACATCATAGCATTTTACCCACAAATATCTAAAGACTTTTTAAGCTGCCATATGAGTATTTCTATTTAAGTGCACGGGTTGACTCCACAATTAGGAATTTATTTATAACCTTTCAGAATGCTGCCCTCTATCATTTCTCCACATTTAGTTGATTCTTTACATCAAATGTGGCCTTTGTCCTTCTTCAGCCCCTCTGCATGTACGCCACGGGGTATTGGTGAAATATCGTAGCCATGCACTTAGGACAAATGCATGGCCAAGGCCTTGCCAAAGTCACCCAGATAGGCAGGACAGGAGAATCACCAATTTTGCATTCGCTGAGCACATAAACCACTCGTCCCCAGGCTTGTGTTTTACTAACTGCTTGCCCACCTTAACCAAGCTCATACTTCAGCAGCATTAACACTGTCAAATCTTAGCTCGTCTTCATTAAACAGTGGCTCATGTTAAGAGGGGTTTACTCCCTTTCCCTCTCTGTTAAATGGAGCTTTTTCCGCCATGCGGGAAGCAACGGATCCCACCGCCCTCCCCTTTGCAGACTGGGCTTCAGGTAGTAAGCAGATCTCCAAGATGGTGACAGTATCTTTATATCCTCTGTTGAAACCATTTTTACCCAACTTCAAGTCTCTGTAGAAATCAGAATCCAAGCAAGCGGCCCCAAATGTGAGGACTACAGGTGTGCAGGGTGGAAAAGGACAGAGAGGGAGAGAGATCGTGAGTAAGACATGTCGGCAAGACAGCAAAAGTCGTTTTTTAAAAATAAGTGCTTGCAAAGACATAACTGCAGCCAGGCTGGAAGAGGAGAAGGCCACGCCACCCCCTGAGCCCCAGCCGGCCGTTCCCTGTGCTAATCCCAGTGAGAGCAACAGGAGACCCTGGATGGAATTTGAGCCGCCCGCCTGACTTCAGCATCTGGCGCTGCCGGCTGGGGCTGTAGATCCAGGGGAGTTATGGCGTGCAAGCGAAGAAATACCAGCTTGTCAAGCCGCGGCCTGGGTCCCGGACCAGCTCCAGAAAAGTCCAACTGCCCTTTATTGACCAGCGCTCGCATTCAGGTCAAGCTTTCACCCTGGGCCAGCCCTTTAGCATCTCCTGGCCTGATGTGCTGCAGGGAGAGCCCCTGGCAGCTCAGCCTGCCCCTAATAACAGTAACATTGCGGGGGGTGTGTGTGTGTGTGTGTGTGCGTGCGCATCGCTGTGTCCCGCTTTGGGACCTGGAAGCTGCAAAGCACCTCGTTCCAAAAGAAGCCTGCTGTCAAGTGGTAAACAAGGTGGATTCTGGGAATTAAAATGTCAAACCCTACCCAAAGTCAGGCCTTTGCTAACATGCATGGTGGCCAGGTGGCACCCAGAAAGGTTTTTAAAGACTCTAGGCCGGCACGAGGTGTGTGAAACCAGAGCTTTGCCTTTCCGTGGAAAAAGCTAAGGGAGAACAGGAGAAGACAGGCTCTTTCACCATGAAACGTGTTTGTAGGAGAATCTTGGGAATTAAAATAGATGCACTCCCGAAATAATCTTGTTTTGAAACATCAGAAATCTTAGGAAGAGGAAAAGGCTATCAATACACTTACCCTTTGAATCTGTTACGGCCCTTGCTATTTATAATGTTATTTTTCCTCCACATGGCTTAAAATAATCAACAGACATTATCACATTAATCTTGCAATCCCCCCCTGTCCTTCCACCGACGCCTCACCTTCAGGGCCGCAGAGGACACTGCCCCAGCTCTGCGGGGGCAGCCTCTGCTGCCCCTGCTCCTCTGAGCCCCCAGGCCCGCCCCGGCCCCGCCCCGGCCCATGACAATGTCCTGGCCGCCGCCGTTCAGTCTTTCCTCACCTGCACTGCTGCCAGGTGGAAGGGAGCCTGCTGGAGAGAAACCTTGGAGCATCAGAGCCTCAGGACCCTAGAGACTCCGTAGGCCCCAGTGCCTGCTGCAGTGTCCTGACCTGCCGGTGTCACCGGGAGGCCCATGGCAAGTCCCTGTCGTCAACACTAAAGCTCGGGCACTGACAAATTCTGTACCTTTTAAAAAGTAAATTAGAGCAGGGTCAAGTTATCGCAACTTATCTCAAGTTACCTCAACAAAATGGCAGCCCACACGGTATGTGCATGCTAACTTTTAAGACTCAGGATTATTCGTATAACAATTTGTATTTTCAGCTTCTCTTGGAAAACCTGGGGCTGGTGGTCCCAAGCCTCAGCCCCCAATGGGAGCTGAGGGGCTCTGCCCTTTCAGCAGGAAGCAGGGCTCCCTCCGAGGGACCCTGGGAGTCCCTGAGTGGGCCACACTGCTTCCCTGGCCACACCATTTTCTGGCTCCTCACAGGCAATTGGGATATGACCTCTGGCAGGCGAGGGCAGGAGCAGACTTCCCAGGGGCCAAAACCTACACAATTTGGGGGGGTGCATTTTAAGAAAAAAATATATATTTATATACATACGAAGTTAAATGCAAAATGAATATTTATTTAGAATGAGAAAAGATATGACAGCAAATTACAGTTTTTATGGCAAATATCAATGGTGACAATTAGAAATCACCAAGTGATGACCATACACACACAATACGCACAAAATCTAGAAAGATAATATAACTTTTGAAAAACAATACTTCACTGCATGGCATGCCGCTATACTTCCTTTTTCCTCTAGTTTTTGGCTGTATACTCTGATTACATCTCCATACAAAATGATTTTATAATATTTTCTCGAGAGAGAATAGATAGGCATTCATTCTTTCCTCTAGATCAGCTGGTTGAAATTTGGTTTAAATTATTGATAGTTTAGAGAAGTTTCTTCTAGCTTTGCCCCTCATTATCGGTAATGTTATGTGCATTTTTATGATCGTTGTCAAATTTAGAAAAACTTCTGTCAAGTTTCTTTCATCGATGAGCTGCTACAGTTGTACTTGCAGTCTGATGTATCTCCACAGCCACAGGCCTGTGGCATAGGAATTCTAATCAATTCTATTTTACATAATTCTCATCAAAAAAAAGTGGGGGAAGGATATATAGTACAATTGTAATTGTATGCTCTGCCTTATTGAGTATATTCTTGCATAAGTGAACTTCTGTTTTGACTAGGCATTGATGAGAATTGAATCCATTGCTTACAATTTCATGTGCCTAATAATCAGAAGATGATCCTGCCATAGTCCCTGTACATTGCAAGCCCTGTTCCTCCTGTATTCCCTAAATGCTTCAGGAGCTGTGTGCATGTCGTGGTGCTGAGAGAGGTCACAGAATGGGCAGGAAGAGCATTCTTGGAAGCCATTCCTAGACCAGCAGAGCCAGCAATGACTTATCCTTGAGAGTGATGCAAACCCCAGAAATATATCCCACTAAACCCAAACTAAATGCATCCCGACTTCAACCCCCTTTACAGATGCTAGCAAAGCCCTTGGCCACTCCAATTCCACCTGACACAAAGAAGTCTGGCCGAGAAGAAGAGAGAATGGACAGGGACAGTGGTTGTACTATTATAATTCAAACCCCTCACGTTTGCAAATTTTACGAAAGTGTAGAACTATATGCACATACTGTGAAGGTCCTTCCCAGGACTCCTGAAAGTGGCCTAGCAAGTGAGGGGCCTGAGGTTGAAGCGTCAGTTGCTTCCAGGTGAATTGGCCTCTGGTGGGTAATAACAATCTCACTCCCCTGCTTTCTTAAATGGAAAAGAAAGAGGTAAAATAACCTGTAGACACGCACTCAGGATCTAAGCCATAACCCTGTGTGAGTGCCTTGTACAGCAGTACCACTAGTTGGGGTGTTTGTCAATTACTGAAGTGACTTCCTTCCCTGAAATTATCTTCCTGAGTTTCGTCAAAATCTGGATCTTGCGGAGGAAATGCATCTTACGTATGGCCATGGTCCACCAGCTATGCCCCGCCTGCAGAAAAATGGCAGAGGACCGCTGTGCTGGGGGGGGGGGGGGGGGGGCCTGATGCTACAGATGGAGAGAAGAGAGAACGGCCCACAGTTGTTGGGGCCAGGATTAGACTCCCCCTAAACCATCCTTAGCCCAGAGCTATTTCTACTAGTGAAGAGCAGAGTCTCGGCTTTAAGGTGACTCCACCATCTCTTCTCAAGTGCACAGGCACAGCCTTCTAATGGGTCTCGCTTAGTCTATCGATCAGGTATTGCCCAATGTTGTGTAACCATCCACCCCAAACCCTTTGGCTTGAAATTACCATCATTTATTCT